TAATTTGTTCTCTTTTAGTTTCTAAAACGTATTTTATTTGGGCACATTAGCAGACGGATTACCTGATGGTAAGCAATCGGCGCCGCTTATAGACACCCGCAACACCAAAGGGGTTACGAGTGCGTTGCCGGCCTTTTAGGGATAAGGGTTTCAGTTATTTAAGGATTGGGAATGGATGGGGGAGGGTGTGATTGGGCCTTCGGTAACCTCACTCACACGGCGAAACACAACGCTGTGGTTGTTTCATGCCGGTTTTCTGTGAGGCCGTGGTATCACTCCAGTCGAGCCGACCCATTCATACCGAAGCATGGCTCTCCCACACTTCTCTATCCTGATTTAATCATTGCATAAATATGACTCTATCAAAATATTTGCTGACTTTAATAATTATGTTTTAACCTTAACTATAATGAAAACTAGTCTCGCTATTATCTTATTGACATGGAAATTATCCAGAGCAATTTCTCTTATCTAATTCACAATAAAAAATAATATTTAGATAATAAATTGTAACTTTTCCTTTGTAATATTTATTTATCGTTCAACTTCAATCTGTCCTTGAAAGTAGATATTACCTATAGATAATATGTTTAAACACACCTTCATTATTTAAATTTATAACCATTTGTAACAAATAGCTATATTTTATACCACGTCACTTTTTTGTTACAAGTTGTAAGTAATATCGGAACATAATTATATTGCTTGGATAAATAAAAAAAAAACTTTTTTTTAGATAACTTTTAGATAAAAATACATGCCCCATTGTTGACTGAGATTCTTTAAATTTATGAAATAACCTTAACCGATGGACCATTGTTAATAATACATCATTAGAAACATCCAATAAAGTTAAATTCTTCCCCCCCATCCTTTCCCAATTCCTGAAACTCCAATCCCCCAATCCAAACTGATATTATAAATGCGAAAGTTACTCTGTCTTTTCTTCACGCCTAAACTACTGAACAGATTTATGTGAAATTTGGTACAGACGTAGTTTGATATAGGATAGTTTTTATATCAAAAATTTGTCAAGTCACTATTGCACGCGAATGGGGTTGAGGGCAAAAGCTAGTAAAAAAATTAATTTATATTTTTCGGAACATCGGTATATCGAAACATATAGTATTATGTTTATTGCTCACATAAATATTTAAAAACAATAACTGATGACAAAGATTTCGAATAGTTAAACAGTAGATTTGGTACTTAAACCCCTTATCTACACGAACTCATACTTCAATGACTCTTATCTGTACGCCTTAGCAAATGCACATAGCAACAAATGGTCGATAGTCTATACTTAATAATTATTATAAAGAGGTAAAATTTGTAAGTTTTTATGTAGGAGGTAATCTTTGGAACCGCTGGTCGGATTACCAAAATTCTTTCACTGATAAATAGCTACAAATGTTCTTGAGTGCTATAGGCTATAAAACATCACGCTACGATCAAATGGAGCTGAGCAGCTGGTGAAACCGCGCGAGTGTAGCTAGTAATTTATATAAAACACAAACTTACGGTACTTTTTGTTTAACTTCTTTATAAGTACGCTAAATCTCCTTCACACTTCGATAGAAAGAAAGAAGGCAGAACATTTATTTTCTTTATGCTAAAATATAGTAGAAAGGCACATAGTAAAAACTGTATATCTAATTGAATGGATATATGTACATAACGGTGTGGGGACATGTCCCAAGCCAGCGCCGAATCTTGTAAGTCCTTTTTCACTGGCACCTTAAATAATTGTATAATGAAATGTAACTAAACCCATTCACAATACAAAAACTGGCAAAGCAAAGCAGCATGGCCAGCGGTTTTTAGTAGACAAAAAATCATTTTACAATTTCTTGCAATTTTTTAAGTGAATTTAATTATTTCTGCAGTGTGAGGTATTCTTCTTCCTCTAACCTAATTCCTCCCCAATGTCTAAATCTCCGAAACGTAATCCCCAAAAAGACCGGCAATCCACTCGTATCACTTTTTAGTGTTCCATGTTTCTATGGCCGGTCCCGCTTGCTGACTATCAGGTAATCCATCGGCCCGGTTGCCGTGTTATCACATACAAAAACAGTAATCTTCTTGCGCGAAAACGGAGGAATTGATGAAGTGTGTGTGTGTGTGTTTTCAATTAATTGTGCTTGTTAGCCTTTATACCCCATTTTCCGTCATCATTGACATCATTATTGACATAAAGTGTGGGAGAGCCAAGCTTCAGCACGAATGGGTCGGCTCGACCGGCGTGATACCACGGCCTCACAGAATACCGACGTGAAACACCACAGCGTTGTGTTTCGCCGCGTGAGTGAGGTTACCGGAGGCCCAATCCTTCCCCTCCCCCGATCCCTCCCAATGCCTAAATCTCCAAAACCCTCATCCCAAAAAGGTCGGCAACGCACTCGTAACTCCTCCGTTGCGGGTGTCCATGGGCGGCGCTGATTACTTACCATCAGGTAATCCGTTTGCTCGTTTGTCGACCTATTCCATAAAAAAGAGCCAACAGACCACCAGAGGTGGTCTTAAACAAGGCTGATGTTCAGCTGGTATTGCGGGAAAAATGCAAGTAGGTATTGCAGTCCTGGCCTGAAGCAGAAGAAGGAACGGGAGGGTTTTTAGTTAGTAAGAGTCTGATACTCCCTCACCTTAAGCGAGAGAAGAAATTTAACAGTTTTCATACCCCCCTTACAGGGCCTTGTAACACAAATCTATTTGTTTCTGCAATAAAGATTTAAAAGATTAGGTACTTACATATTTGCTGTGATTAATTTATCTAGTACACAATAACACGTGTAAGTAATCTAGGATCTAGATAGTTAGTCATAATATTGTATTGTATAACAGTCAAGGGATGAACTCCCTTGACTGTTATACAATACAATATTTTGCGAAAGAATTGTTCCAATTTGTCATGTGCTTTATTAACTTTCTAGCTACTTTCGCGCGGTTTCACCTGCTGCTCGGCTCCATTGCGTGATGTTTTATAGCCTATTATAGCACTCAGGAATTTTGTAGCTATCTATCAGTGAAAGAATTTTGAAAATCCGACCAGTGGTTCCAAAGATTACCCCCTACATACAAACTTGCAAACATACAAACTTACTTACCTCTTTATAATATTAGTATAAATGAAACCGGACCAAAATCAAACTTAAGTTTAGTTAAGTGCGGGAGAGCCATGCTGCGTCACGAATGGGTCGACTCGACCGGAGTGATACCTCCTTACAGAAAACCGGCGTGAAACAACCACAGCGTTGCGTTTCGCCATGTGAGTGAGGTTACCGGAGGCTTAATCCTTCCCCTCCCTCAATCCCCAAAAGGTCGCAGCGCACTCGTAACTCTTTTGTTGCTGCGGGTGTCCATGTGCGTTTTGTTATTGTTGTTTTTTCGTTTGCCTATCACTTCAAAAACAAGTAGTAAATAGTCAAGGTTAAATAGTAATTAATCCTTAAAAAGAGTTTAGCCATATTCAGTTCATAGTACCGACCCTAACCTCAATTAGCAGAAGGCCATTAGCGAAAATAATTATCTTCAAACGTCATACGATTAAATAAATAAAAGCGAAAACATTTTCTTAATTTGTCTAAAATAATTACTACTTATCACTACTTACATAGTTTATAACAAAGTAACTTTCTCTGACGGTATAAATCCCTATGTATGCTAAAATCTTTTATACTATGCAATGAATGTATGATACATTTTTAAAAATCAGCCCTAAAGTGTTATAAATATGCTATGAAAGCCATAAATTATATTTGCATATTTTAGTCGAGCTATCGCTTTAAACGCTGCTGTTTTTAAAATCTCTGGATATAACTTTTAAACGTGCATGCTAGTACTAAATAAACCAAAACTGATAATCGATATTATCTGAAAATCAATTAATAGAATGATAATCATCAGAAATTCGTGCCTAAATGGGGTACTAGGTTATCAGAAATTGCTCATTTTAATGTTAAAAACACAGCCTTGACTTGATCAGATGGTCCTTACCTAAACAACATTTGTTGGGTTATTTTTAACGTTACAGTTATCAGACTATTTTGTTATCACCTTTTAATTTTTACGAATCAATGTCAGGTCAATTGGAAGAGGTGCCACCTGTGTGACCTTCGGTTTTGATGACAGTGGGTTCCGAAATATTTGATACTCATTGCTTGTATCTGAAGCTAAGTTATCTTTTTATCTGGATGAAAATAACGGATTCACACACGGACATTCTGGATGGTGGACTGTCCCTACATACGGAATTGCTGTGAAAGACGCAACTGTAACTGCAATTTCGGGTGAAGAAATTATTTTAACTTTATTTTTGATATTATTTAATTCAAGTTTTAATGATATGTGATTATAATTTTAATATTCGACGAAATATTTGTGTCTTTACTTAATGAATTAATTTGATCTGACTTCATTATTATTTTACTTACTTTATTCCTGTGATTTACAGTGTTATTGTATTTGATAATGTTATTGTTTTTTACGATAATTTCTAATAACAATGTACTTAACAATTAGGTAGTTATGATTAACTACCTAAAATAAGTGTATTTTATTTTAGTTTTATTGCGTCGTGACTCATGAAGAAATAGGACAATTCAGTGTCGTCATTAGCATGTGAAGTCGTAAATTGTATACCAGTTTCTTGTGGTAAGTTTTTATCGTCAACTGCTAAACACCTTCCCCAAAGTCTTCCAGATCGGCCTGTTCAAAATGATCTGCATCTTATAGCTTGTTTATTTCTCTTATTCTTGGGTGAGTAGAAATAAAACATAATAAAACAAATTGAAACTTGAAAATATAAATACATTTATTTACTTAATGACAAAAGGCTACTCAATCATCACAAATTCTTTAATACTAAGTCTTCTAATTCGGCAGGCACTACTATAAAAAATATGACTGCTTAAACCTATATTTCAAGAATGTTTGTAACTAAGTCATGGGTAAGTTAACTAGTTACTAAAACAGCTAACGCACACACTAAGGTCCAGTCTTACTAATTAATCATTTTAGTATTCGCTTCCTCATCATCATCATCCACATTTGTGAACCTTCCATAGTTAAAGTAATTTTCAATTTCTTGAAGAGTCTTATCTTTGGTTTCTGGCATTATAAAATAGAGTATAACAAGAGAGACCGCCATGATTATACCATACACGGCAAAAAACCCATAGACTTTAATACTATCTATTAAATGTGGAGTTGATTTTAGTCCTACTATTAATCCCAAGGATATCCAAACTCCAGATAGAGCTAATCCTGCGCCTCTGTGAGATAAAGGAAACACTTCTCCTACTAAAGCTAAGGGTATTGGTGCACAGCCCAAGTTGGCAAGCACGAAGTATACTATCAACAAAGACATAGGTATCCAGGATCGTCCACCTGGTATTATGCCTTTGGCTTCCAAGAAGAGATATGTGCAGACTGCCATCAATACTCCAAAGGCCGCGAATCCAGTGGAGAAGAGTAGTGTTCGCCTGTTCATCATTTTCACCAAGATTGAGGCGAATAGAGCACTCGCTGTGATGATGACATCAGAACCAAGAGTGTAGTAAAACGACTGAGACTTCTCACCGGTCATCTCGGACATGATGTGAAGGAGGTAGGCAGGGAATATATGCCTCCCACTCATTTCTAACACAATGGTTGCCAGTAACGTTATAATGACAGGTTTCACGAAGTCTTTTTGTGTAAATTTCTTGAGGAAGTCCTTAGTTTGCTCCCAGTAACTAAGTGTCAGTTTTGGTTTTGTCATTCTTTCTCTCTGAGCTTTGATAGTATCAGCTATTTCTCTGCGAGAGGCTTCGTTGTTTCCTCGGAGCCAGTAGAATGCTCTCTCGCTTTTATCGTACTGCTGTTTGGAGAGTAGCCAGGCAGGGCTTTCAGGCCACGTGCAGACCACGAAAAAGGCAAAGAGGAGAGGAGTTACAGCTACCAGTGCTATCGTCCTCCAATGTAGAAATCCGCTTATAATATGAATGAACATAGCTCCCATGCACACGGAAGCATTCTTGAGATACAAGAAGACTCCTCTGTATTTAGGACTGGTATACTCTCCTATAACGACAGCTCCCAAAGACACCGTGGCTGCTGAAGACAGTCCACCTAGAAATCTTCCAATCATAAGAACTGTGATGTCTTGACAGAAGTAGATCATGATCCAGCCCACGATGGCTGGTAATATTACAAGGGCATGAGTAATTTTCCTCCCGAACATTTCCATGAGGAATGAGGATATGAAGAATCCTGGGATGCCAGCCACGCCAACTATTGACCCTGGAATAATAGAAATGAGGAAATTAGAAATAGAATAATTAATTGTTGGTGCTGTACCAATCTTTTGATTATTGTGTCAGAGTATGTTGTAGGTGAGATTTGTGATTTTGTAGCAACCACGACTTAAGGAGAGACTTGTTTATTAAAAGCAAATTTTTTACCTCATGACCTTTAAACTTAAGTTTGAAAACATCACATTTTCCTTAAAGAAGAAGGAAAAAGAATAAGATTATTGAAACAAAATACAATTAATGGACGAAAACTAGGTAGGTATCGTTTATATTTACTTTTTGTATTCGTAAGAAGTTTTCTAAATAATCAAATAAAGTCATTTGACATGTGTTATACAAATAAATTATTTGGCCTTTCTCTAATTTGAAAGAAATGCCAAATAATTAGATTGTATTGAAATGATGAAATTGAAATGATAGAAAAGTAGTAGATTTGTGTATTTTTTTAATAAGTTTAAAATACCTATAGTTGTCGGGTTTACATTGAAGTTGTTTGATTTATTCATTATTTCTTCAATAATCCACTATAAGGCTCAAAAGTTTGCCATTAAGGAGGGATAAAGGAAGCTTTAAAAGGTTTAGGTTGTTCAGATAATCAGATTTCCTTGTCGACTCAAAATACCAGAAAATAAGAAAGAATTTTAAACTCCGTCATAATGAGAAATATGAATAATTTAATATGTAAGATGTTTTTTTAACATTCCTATCAGTGATTTTATAGGTACCTATTTGAACAGGTGTTCTGATTGCTATGGTCTTTTGTCATTTTTGTTGCGAATCTGGTATTACAGGGCTAGTAGTAACAAGCTATTGTTTAAGTTTTTTTAAACATTTTTTAAAACATATTTGTTTTTCGACAGCAAATAACTGATGTGGTTTTTTAAAACGTTGTTAAAGATTTCGAGTTTTCATCGTGATTAAAAGTTTTTGTTGCTATATACAGTTACACATTATGTTTTTAGGGCCTAGGAGACAATCAAGCAACCGGAACCTAATAGTAGAGATCAGCGCCATCTATGAACACCATGGAACACTAGGGAAAGCGCGCATGCGCTCAAGTACAAACAAGTGCGTTGACGTCTGAACATAATAGCAGACAAATTTAATATTTTTAGGGGTAGATTTTTCAATAGTCAGATAAATGTTATCTGAGAAATAAAATTGTTGCACTGTCGCTGTCTTATACAAACATTCTGACGCGACAGCATCATAATTATTCCCCAAATAACTTTTATCTAACCACTGAAAAATCAGCCCTAAATATAAATTACTAATAAATTTCAAGCTTCTCCATAATGACACCCATAATGATCGTCACGATATAAAAGACAAATATTTTTGACTTAGGTTGTGTACATAGCCACTAGACCGAGCAGTCGAATTATTTAGTTAGCAATATCTACATAATATAGGTTAATGCATTTTAATTATTTTCATTATGACGATAATAATTATGTATTTATCCTAAGGTTGCTTGTCAGATTCAATACCTACTAAACAGGTACGGTTTGCAGTTTTGTTATTTCATTCATTCATTCATTCATATAATTGAGTTAACAAAATAACTAAAGTTTATGTTTTTTATGGTATAGTTCGGCAAACGAGCAGGCTAATTACCTGAAGGTAAGCAATCAGCGCCGCCCATGGACACCCGCAACACCAAAGGAGTTATATATAGTTATAATATTTATTTTCTTTTGTTTTCTAACGGGCGGCAGATACCATATCTACTTTTTACACATATTACAAAGCTAGAGTGTGTTTATTTGTTGGTTTTGAAGCGTTAATCTTTCGAACTTACTATCCGAATTGGAAACATATTTTTGTATTGGATAGTTATTTTATTGAGGGATGTTATAAATAAGCCATGCTACGGTATGGCGACTTTTTTATTGCCCCACACTAAGATTTTTCCCTGAATTGTGGGTGCGTTAACAAACATACAATTTCACATGGACATTATGTCCAGAACCAAATTTTTGGATACGTTGCGCTGTAGCCGGTTGGCCGGCCACAGCACCAACCGTGCAGTCATTAAATAAAAAATGAGCGGAGCACTACGTCATGCAAGGGCAACTTTTGTTAAAATCTATAGTAAAGGTACAGGCATCTTACCCAGCCATGATGCAGTGTGGAGGTCAGCTTTGATGGGGGAGTCAGGTTGGCTGAGGGCTGGCAGTAGACTAGAAGGGAAGCTCAGCACCAGGCCCTGGCCGAACATGTTGATCAGCACCGCTGACATAGTCCATGTCTGTAACGACATAGGTTACTTGAAATCATGATGAGAGTGGTTGGAGTGGAACTGATTTTTCAATGGTTAGATAAAAGTTATCTGGGGAATGATTATGATGCTGTCGCGTCAGAATGTTTGTATAAGACAGTGACAGCAACAATTTTATTCCTCGGATAACATTTATCTGGCTATTGAAAAATCAGCTCTTAGTCGTATTACTATGAAATTTTGCAAGTTTTTTTTGATTTTCAGAGGGTCACCCTCGTCGAATTTTGAATTTCCTAGCCTATTGCTTATCAGACGTTAAATTTCGAAATTACCAGTTTCTTGCTGACTTTTTTTAATAGTAACTGTCGTGAGACGTGCAATATTTATGTAAACTATAAAATAAAATAACTTGTTTCTTGTCACAACGGAACTCTTATTCATGACGTCGACGCTACCGCGACACGCGCTGCTTATGAGCTGTTCTCTGTCCTAATTTGTTCATAAATTAACTTATGTAAATAATTGTATACCTTTTCCCCAGGGATGTCATCATCAGCCTATAAGTGCCCACTGCTGAGCAAAGGCCTCTTCTCATACGGAGAAGGTTAGAGCATTAATCACCACGCTTGCTCAATACGGGTTGGCGATTTCAAACTTATAATTAGAAATTAAGTCCAGGTTTCTTCACGATGTTTACCTTGACCGTATGTCAGTGGTGTCTAATTAATCATAGAAAGTACATATAACTCGGAAAAAGTCACATTGGTACTTGCCAGGTTTCGAACCCACACCCTCATGCATGAGAAGCGGGATCCATAACCTCCGGACCACCACAACATGGAGAGAAGGCCTAGGGATGTAACCTGGGCCTTCTCCCCTGGGATTTGAACTGGGTTTCAAGGCCCGAGTGAAAAATAGGTTGCTTATGGATAGGCATGATCCATTGTTAGTTGTATCATCGCTATCGCTAGATAGAAAAAAAAACACAAAAGTTACCTACGTGAAAAAACATGTAAATTAACAATTATCTCCAAACCTATCTAAGTCAATATAATTAAATTTTTATACGAAATATTCGTTCCCACGGATAACAAGCAAACGGTTTAATATCCGCTTTTATTTTATTCACAACATTATTTTAAATGTATGACGCAAATTATATTTCATAGAAACTAATCACTTTTTTTAATTATCGTAGAGGCACGTCATTTGAAAATGTGTTTTATTTCGCTTCTATTTTATGTTTTCAAATTATTTACACTTATGGCTGATTTTTCAATAGTCGGATAAATGTTATTTGAGGAATAAAATTGTTGCTGTCACTGTCTTACACAAACATTCTGACGCGATAGCATCGTAATTATTTCACAACTAACTTTTATCTAACCATTGAAAAATCAGCCCTTAAAATATTATAATTTAAAACTAAATAGTCCTGTTGAATTCCAAATTGGATATAAAATAATTTAGAACTAAATCACACATACACACAGACACTCACACAAAAACATTATTACATTTTTTTTTGAAGTATCTAACATAGTTCTATCCCTTGGTGAAAACTGAATGAAAATCCAATCAGGAATTTTTAGTTATAAACAGACAGATACGGTGAAAGACTTCCTACTCACTATAAAGTTTGTATGTTAACGTAAAATCTTGAGAATCTAAATTAAAACTAAAATTTATCACTAAAATAGATTTTAAGTCTATAACAAATATACTTCTTCTTAACTTGCGATAGTGATTAAAGAAATATGTAAAGTTAATATTTACCTGTCTCAATAATGGAGCGGACATTTTTCTAAAATTCCAACATGCTGGTCACAGAACTGTGGCACAGAACACCAATGGCACCCGTTTGATTCGCCCGACTGAAAATCAAGAGGTTATATGTTTACAAATGAAGCTTTACCTACGCAAATACAAGTGTGTGAACCTGTTTTTGTTCTAAAAATTTCATGTTAAACCAGTGTTTTATTTACGCGTATTTTTTGAAAATGGAATTCGAAAAGTTTGATGAGGAAAACTAAGTTGGTATATTCAACGCGTCACATATAAAAAAAAACAATCAAATTACAATATAAAAAAAGGAATTAAAACAATCGAAAAATACTGCTTTGCACATTAATTTTTGTGTTGTGCAACAAACAGACAATTTAATTATGTATCTTTAATATGATTTTCAAATCATTGGATCAAATGTCTTATGTATCAGTTAAAAATAAATACTAATATTCAAAATTGATGTAACTTATACAAACAAATACATCTAAGTAAAATCTATTTCAAAATAAAAAAAAATAACTCAATAAAATCACTCATTGATTAATAAGGAAAAAAATACACAAATTTATTTTAACTAACCTGTAAAATTTAAATTTTTTTACACAAAGAAAAAACCATTCAAGAAAAAAAAAACACCTATTTTCTCAAAAATGTTGCTTAGAACTGTCACTGTTATTTTAACTGAAACTGAAAACTGAGAACTGAAAACTGAAGATGGCTGTGTGCCTGTGTGTCGATGTTAAGTATCAATGACAAAATATTGGCACCTATTTAGTTGATTCAACGGCGGACGCTCATTATATATCTTACCTAGACAACTTAATGTAAGTACATAACTAACTATAGCACAATCGATGCGTTTGTTTGTACAGTGCTATCGATTCTATCATTTTAGTTATGAAAACAGCCTCAAAGAAAACCACAGCGTTGTGTTTCGCCGTGTGAGTTAGGTTACCGGAGACCCAATTCTTTCCCTCCCCCAATTCCAAAATCTCCAAACCCTTAATCCCTAAAAGGACGGTAACGCACTAGTAACTTCTTCGTTGTTGCGAGTGTTGTTGAGCGATGGATGGCACTGATTGCTTACCATCAGGTAGTCCTCGTTGCTCGGCAGGAACCGGCTAGTTTGATATCTTATCACAAAAAAAATCAAGGATTTTTGTATGTGTTAAACGAGCAACCCTGATGGTAAGCAATCAGGGAAGTTCAAGATTAGACAAAAAAGTGCGGCGCAGACCCTTTGTGGGAAGTGAATGAAAACCTCACTCACATTTCTGGGTTGAAATTCTGTGAAGCCGTGGACATCATTTCGGTGCCAGCAGACCCAAAAAGACCCAATGCTCAACCATTGGACGAATTTGAATGAAATTCGACCCAGACATAGATTTATAGTCTAGAAAAAAATATTTTGAAACAACCACAGCGTTGTGTTTCGCCGTATAGGTGAGGATATCGGAGGTCCAATCCTTCCCTCCCCAATCCCAAAATCTCCAAAACGTTATCCCTAAAAGGACGGTATCGCACTCATAACTTTTTCGTTGTTTTTCGGTGTCCATGAGCGGCGCTGATTGCTTACCATCAGGTAATCGGCCTACTCGTATGCCGACCTAACATAAAAAAATGGCACTAGGAGGTAAAGTCAGTGGGAGAAGCTAGCTAGTTCATAATACTTGCTTTCTAAGAGCAATAAAATTAAAGAACGGGAAAAAATGCAGGTGACGTCACGTCGCCTAACTAGTGTACTTAAGCAACAATTTAATAAAATCATGTAAAATTGTAGTCTGATATCAATAAGGAAACCATGACACCAATCTATTATTATCTCAGTCGATACATGTAATTCAATATTTATTAAGGTTAGATTTAACTAGTGCCGTGGAGTATAAGCGACGCGACGTCGCGCAATTTTGCGAATTCCTGAAATTTACCACGTCTGGCGCTACTGTGGGTTTCGGTAGGTTGCTTTTGTTTTAGGTTTTAGTGCTCAAATGACCGCAGACTGATATACATAGTATAGCCGGGGTTACAGTCAAGGTTAAGGGCAATAAGGAGCCGCAGGTTTCGCCTGGTGCAGGAGAAGGAACGTTTTTCAGTCAGTCACTGTATAAGGTTTTTAGTCAGTAAGAGTCTGACACTCAATCTCGCCTCACCCCAAGCGGGAGACCAGAGAGAGCATGATGATCTGCCCGTCATAAAAAAGAATGATTGCAGTTGTGTTATCTTTAATAAAATTCATTCAATCATTACTAGTAGCCTGCTGTTAGCATGTTTCTTGTAAGTCCATGGTAGAAGGTTGTACCGTTGTAGTTGCTGATAGCGAAATTCTACAGCTTCGTGGTATTCGTGAATAGGATAGTAGCTGAATGGAGATAGAGATCGTACTAGAAGAAGTTAACACCAGTAGTTATAGTTGACAATATGGTTGAAGAACATGTCCAAAGACCTGAAACTAGTCAAGACAAGCGAAGGGCATGCGTCAAAACTCCACAGCATGACAGTGTTCATGTGTATTTGTTTTTACAACCCCAAACGTCTCAAATTTTCTTAATCAAATAAATTAATTAAATGATCACCATGGTCGATGTTCAGCCGGAGTAGCTAATACAAGCAATAATGAACCACTGCCCGGTTTCCGAACAGAGAAGCAACAGAGTGCAAAGAAATAGGCGGCCTTTTAAGTGTGGGAGAGCCATGCTTCGGCACGAATGGGTCGGCTCGACCGGAGTGATACCACGGCCTCACAGAAGACCGGCGTGAAACAACCACAGCGTTGTGTTTCGGTGTGAGTGAGGTTACCGGAGGTCCAATCCTTCCCCGCCCCCAATCCCTCCTCAATCCCTAAATCTCCAAATCCCTAATCCCTAAAAGGTCGGAACGCACTCGTAACTCCTCCGTTGCGAGTGTCCATGGGCGGCGCTGATTGCCTACCATCAGGTAATCCGTCTGCTCGTTTGCAGACTTATAACATAAAAAAAAAAAATATTTATATTTAGAGTAATTGTTGGTCAGTGAGAGTCTAACATTCCTTCTCGCCCCAACTAAGACGAAGGTGGTGGTTTATGACATCAAAAACGTAGATTTAGTGTTTTTTTTCGTTGTTTATTGGTTAGGTCTATTGAAAGTGTAAACAGTATTAAATTTGTAATATTATTTATTGAAGGCATAAAGGAAAAGTACCAACAAACTGTTGTTAATTACAGTTTTTTTTAATTTAATAACAAAAGCCTATTCGAATATAATGAAACAAATAGCATTATACTTATAACAATAATTAAAAATCAACGCAATTATAAAACGTTGTAACGCATTTAAAAAAAAAGATACATCAGCATCCAAGTACAGCAAGAGTCGGCTATTTTATAGATATCTGATTTTTTAAGAGAAAAGTTTTTATTTCTTTTGAATTGATGAAATTTAATGTAAAAAATAGCTTTTATGGAATAGGAGGCAAACGAGTAGACAGATCACCTGATGGTAAGCGATCGGCGCCGCCCATGGACACCTGCAACACCAAAGGAATCACAACTGCGTTGCCAGCATTTTAAGAAGGAGTACGCTAGTTTCTTGAAGGTTTGAAGGTCATATCGGTTCGGCAATAACGCCGCCAGGAGATTATTCCAAAGTTTTGATGTGCGGGGCAGAAAGTTGCACGACAATTGCAGTTGTTGACTACCGTTTTTATGTAGAACAATGGCGAGAAGATGCGGCAGGGATCGAACCGAACAATCCCAGTATTTATAACGATTACTTATTTGTCGGTTACCATGGCCCATGTTAATATAAGGTATTTTATATAGTGTAATAAATGTATCACGTCACTAGTTAAAGGTTAATGAATACTACATTGATGTTATGGTAAAATCGTTTATAGGTTAAAGGTAATACGGGGGGTATTAGCGTTAGCGTTAATATAAAAACAAAATTTATTTATACATATTTTTTTTAAATGTCGTGGTGGCCAGGCGTTTAATATTCCTGCTTCTGAGGCATGCGTGCGATGAATGGAAACATCGTGAGTAAACCTGGACTTATAATTTCTTATGATTAGTAAGAAATCGGCAATATGCCACGAGCAAGTGATTATTGCTAAAATAGTGAAGAAAGAGGCCTTTGCTAAGCAGTGGGCACTAAAATAGACTGAAGATGTGTGATTTATTTACTTTTTTGTTTTCTATTAAAGTTTCATATTTGTGTGTCAAAAATATCGCGAGGGCTTTCGTATTTTCTCCTTTTCTAAATGGTTCAGACAAATTATTTGTTATGGTCATTTTCAATCGATATATTTTATATAAGTTTGCTCGCAGCTCGCAAATAATGGTGGACTTAAGAAAAGTTATATTTCACATTTCTAAATGCTGCAATTTCAAACGATCTATGATTTTATTTCTCAAGAAATATAAATATATCATTATCGTTAATATATTACTGTAGGTCTGTACCGCAGAATTAATGTGAAGATTATTTATATTTTTTTTCTAGTTGTATAATATTTTTCCTTATTTATTTGAAGTTAGAATACTGGAATCCGAAACCAGCTTACGGCCCGTCTCGTTGACAAAAAGTGACACACGATTGAAATTTGCATCTACAACTACAACTAGTACCAACGTGAATTTACCGAGTTATACAATATACATATGTACTTCCTATGACTATTTAGACACCACTGACATACGGTGAAGGAAAACATCGCGAGGTAACTTTTTTTTTGTCAGGGGAAAATCATTAAATGACCTCTCCCGCCCAGGAAAAGGCGAGAGAGAGTGTCAGACTCTTACTGACTAAAAACCCCCCCGTTACTTCTTACGGTGGCCGAAGATCGTCTCTCGATCGTAAGGAAATCTAGACTAGGTATTTATAATTATAAATTTGAAATCACCAATCCACCTTTAGCAAGCGTGATTCTCAAACATTCTCCGTGTGAGAAGAGGCCTTTGCTTATCAGTGTGCACTTAGGTAAAGGCTGAAATGAGTGAGTGAGTGAGAGATTTTATCTGCATATGTATCGTATGTATAACGGTATACGAGTACACAAAACGGTAACTTCTTACCTGTATCTACATATATGTAGATAGATGTCTAAACATCAAAATTATCAAGCGTGGGTCTCTGTCTGTGAGTTTTTTTTGTAAAAAGTGTTGAGGAGATATGCATTGGCATGAATGGGCCGGTTCGATTGAACCTGACAAACGCTTGTTAAGTGATTCCCCGTGGGAGTAAGGTTGCCATAGGCTCAATCCTCATCCTTCTATATGTTTATAACAAGATGGAGGTTGTTCCTGATTCAAGCAAGAAATCATAAGTACTGTTAATTGTTAAATTAAATTGCTCTATGCCTTCCTAATAAAATTATTTACTTCAGTTATGATAATACTAGCGACCCGCCCCGGCTTCGGACGAGTTCATTTTCTTTTTTTATAAACTTTGCCCCACTTTAGGATTTTCTCCTGTGTTGTGGGTGTGTTTACAAACATACAATGTCACATACACATGACACCCAGACCCGAAACAACAGTTTGTAGATCAGAATCGAACCCGCGACACGTTGCACGGCAGCCAGTTGCCCAGCCACCGCACCAACCGTGCAGTCATTGCTGATACTGAATTTCTTCATTATTTAATATATATTATTATACATGCAAACCTTCCTCTTTTATTTAAAAAGACTGCACTAAAACTCGTTGCGTAGTTTTAAATATTTAAGCATACATTAGGATATATGCATGGGCAAATAAAGCGACTTTGTTTTATACTATGGACCTAGTGATTTTCGTAATCCTACTAAGACTGTATCGGTGTATAATGTAGGTACTAATTCTATATTGTTAAATAAATAGCCCCCATTATATACTTGACTTTTATGGCCGTTATATGCAAAGCGTTTGTCTATTATTTACATTTGTTTGGAATAAAAAACAAATTAATTCCTGCGAGCGAAACGCTCTGATCTCCTTACTAGGTACAAAATATAGGTCCGTAAACAAAGTATATCTCCGGCTACCGTAAGCGCGGGTCTGCGGACGGCGAGTAATGGTAGTTCGCAGCCCGACCAGAACCAGACCCGAGCGTACGGCGCGTAGCGTTCCACGTGCTCCACAAAGAGCCCACAAAGAGACCACCACCAGACGGGGCCCTATAAGCCTTATGTTCATTTGGGGTTGCGGGCTAAGCACAATGAGTCACCGCGGCCTCGGCCCAGAGCAGGAGAAGGAACAGGGGGGTTTTTAGTCAGTAAGAGTCCGACAGTGTCTTCTGCTTTACCCTGGGCGGGAGAAGTCATTTGATGATTTTCCCTTGACAAAAAAAGG